CGTCGTGGCTGTGGTTACAGCTCTGCCCCGGCGCGGGTCCCTGTTCCTCTCTGATTTCGCTGCCTTGGCGCTGGACCCAGGAGTCCCGTGTTGTTTCTTTGCAGCAATTGTTCATCTCCCTATTGTTTTCCACAGGCTCCTGCGCCAACCTGCTTGGCCAGGTTGATAATTTTCTCCCTGTAGACCTGAACAGGCTCAGCTTGCTGCTGCCAGGCAGCTGGAAATAACTTAGCTCTCTCTCGGCTGGTCCTTCTCTTCCAGAAATATGGTGTGTCGCTGGGGTCTGGGGCTGCTCTGCCTGGCTGCTCTGCACGGTCACCTCGGGGTAAGTCGCTTTGCTCCAGCGATGGTGGGAGCCTCTCCCCAGACAGCAAAGGGCAAGGGGAGCGAGGTGGCTCTCCTGCCCCAGGTCGCGGGGCAAATACCGCCTGGTGCTTCTGCGGGAGAAGCCCTGGACTGGTGGAGGACGCTGCTTCTCTTCTGGGGCTTAGCTTGTGCTCTGGTGCTGCAAGGTTTCTAATATTTTTCCCAGCTAAAATAGCTGTGAATATTCCCATTATTCCAGTGAATTTCTGTAGGAAGTTTTTGGAAATGTGGCTTCAGCTGTGTTTAGTGGCTATGACCTTCGGGGATTAACAGGAGGTTGTTTAATAACAGCTTTTTTTCTTTCCCCTCTCGTTTTAAATCTGGATCCCTGTCAGATCTGAAATTGCAAAACTGCTCTGCTCACTCCAGAGCATACATTATTTTCTACCCCTCTGACCTGCTGCCTTTCTAAGCAAGCCCAGCATTTCCAGTCTCCCCAGCTCCTGCTCACTTCCACCTCCCCAGGGGGGACCCCATCGCCTCTGGGTCTGCATCCCAAAGAGCATCCAGGCTGTGACCAGGCCCTGTGGGAATGTGTTAGGGGTTGGGGGCAGAGAAGGCTGACTCTGGAAATTCAGAGGAAATTATCTGGGACCTGACTTTGCCTATTGGTTGGTTTGCCTACAGTTTTCTCCGGCACTTGCTATTGATCAAAGGCGTCTCTTCTTGGACAAAGACGGGGAGCTGAAGGTAAGCGATGACTGGGTTCACCCAAAGGCACTGAAGTTATGCTGTGGTTTTTTGCAATGGATTTCCAGTTAGTCCTGAGATAGGATGGGTCCAGACAGTGCAATCCAGCAGCGCCAGCACAACGAGAAAATCCATCTTTGTGCAGGCTGCGCTCCCTGCCTCCCCCAACGCCGTGCTCCTTCGCGTTGGAAGCTCCAGCCTTTATAACTGGGCAGCACATGGAGTAAATATCAGTAGCCGGTGTGTACAGGGACTGGCAGGTGGATTATTTCATTTCTGATTGATAAAGGAAGATGAGAAAATAACTAGCTATGGGGGTGACAGGGAGAAAGATTGCTGCCCATTGAGCCCAGTGCTGACAGGCAGCGCTCCCGCAGTAGAGGGATGTCATCCCGATGTGGGTGGGAACACAGATATGAGGGACAAAACACGTGTTTAAGGCAATGCAAATGCGAGGACAGGAGCAGCAGTGCTACAGGCTAAAGCTGAGAAAACTGGAAAATTAGGAATTTGCAGAGAAAAGAGATGGAATGGAACAGACAAGTCCGGAAGAGACAGATGCCTGGAGGAGGATTTGAGCCAAAATGGATCAAGGCTGTGACAAGAGTAGCGAGCGCTGACCGACGCATGAGGCAGATCGGCAGCCCTAAAATATGTGAGAGGAGGTGGTGAAATCAAGGTTGAGGATGATGGATCTACAAACGGTGAAGGTGCAGGACATGTGTGGAGCAGGTGGTGGTTCTCAGCCTCAAAGTTTGCCTGTTGGGTTCATCTGCCTGAGGCAGGCTCTGAGAGCAAGTGGAGGGGGAAGCACTGCAAGACCCTCCCTCAGCCCGTTTTCCCAGGATAAAATAACCTCCTGTTTCCCATACTCACTGAGCTGCTTTCAGCCTCAAGGTTAAAAGGCAAACTGAAGCAAATACAGCACCAGAGTAGAGAAGCTGGAAAGTGTTCTCAACCCATTTAGGTGCGCAGTAAAGCCCATGAGGGATGGTATCACCATGCTCCCGTTTTCCTTCTTGTTTGTCCCCAGGACGTGAAAAGTGCTGGAGCTGTACAGCCTGCTCTGCTGGGAGCTGTCCCAACTGTGCCAGATGCAGAGCTGGCAGATGTTACCTATGACAGCTTCCAGGACATTGATGGACCCGTGTTCCCCTTCACCACCACCACCCCGCCAGGCACGAGCAACGCCTGGAAGCCAGATGATGAAGCCATAGCTGGGGCTGCAGGCTGTCAGGAACAGCAACCAGCTGGAAAAAGTGCCTCTTCTGAAGAGGAAGGAGAGGCCGAAGAGAAAAGCTGTGAGCTGACTTGGAAGAAGAGCCAGAGGCTAGCAAGTGGCTTGATGAGATTCAGTGTCAGGCTCCTGAAGGAGGCCCAGCAAGAGTCCAACAGACCCAATGTGATCCTGTCACCCCTCAGCATCGCCCTCGCCTTGTCTCACCTGGCACTGGGTAACTTCTTACTTACCAAAGCACCGGCTCCTTCCCTGTACCCCCTCCCGGAGGCACTAGGAAGAAATGTGCAAAAAGCAAAGATTAAATACGGCACCTTCCACTTAATCTTACTCCTCCTGCTTTAATTAGGTACGATTACAATTGGAGCTGCCCTCTGCGGCCTATGCTGAGGCTCCTACTCTCAGGTTTCTCCAGCCTCTTTTGTAAGGCACAGTCCATTTCTCACAGGAGGCAGCTAGAGTAACGTCCCTGTTTTCCACTACATGGGCATGACCTGACAGGAATTTGACTTTGCTTTTTAGGAGCAGCAAATCAGACCGAGAAGCATTTGCTGGAGGCGATGCACCTGGATTCAGTGCCCTGTCTCCACCACACGTTGGGCGCCTTTCGCAGGAGGCTCGCACAATCCACCCTCAGCCTTGCGTCACGTCTGTACCTGCAGAAAGGTGAGAGCTGGCACTGGGGGGGTCTGTGCTGGTGTAGGATCCAACTTCTGGGGACAGAGAGTGACAGCATGTGCTATCCTGGGAGATGTCTCTGTTTCCTTGTGCACTCCTCCTGGGAGTGTCGTGCCACTGAGCAATGTTTTTCTATATCTGGTGACTTCATGTAGAATTCTTCCCCTCTGCCAGGATTTGAGGTGAAAGAGAAGTTCCTGGACGATTCGGAGAAATTCTACGGGGCCAAGCCCATGACCCTTTCTGGGATCAGTGAGGATGACCTGGTAGCCATAAACAAGTGGGTAAAGGAAGCAACTAATGGGCAAATACCCACCTTCCTACAGCAGCTCCCTGAAAACACAGTGATGCTCTTGCTCAACGCAATCCACTTCCACGGTGAGCTCCACAGGCTTTACTTTTCAAGTCTGATCCTCCAGAGGCATAGTTAGAAATCTACTGGTTTTCCACCAGCGCTGTTGCTGAATGGCATCTCTTTTCACCGCTTCCTGCTTGTCAATCTGCTTGTTCTTTTCTTGTACAACTGCCATTCGTCTCGCTTCGATTTCTTTACAGTAATGATTCCCAACTGCTTCATATGTGCTAAAAATGTTACTTGTCAGCAGAGGCGATATGCAGCAGGTGGAACCTGCAGTATCTTTTGCCTCGTGGTTCAGGATCCCAGACTGTGGCACATCACTGCTTATCTCAACCAGGTCACAGGCAAATCACCACACACCAACCACGCAGCTCGGAGGCAGCTTCTGTGGATTTTTTCTGACTACAGCGCAGTGGTCAGGCACATCATCCTCTTTTAGTTCCCTGAGGGTTGTGCATTGAAACACAGATCAAACACTTCCAGTGTAAATCTGCAAATGTTTTAGCTTGCTCTTGGAGCACTGTTTCACCCTGAGCAGCACAGAGGCAGTACGCTTCATTTTTCAAAGGGCAAACATCCATTACTTTATCTCCATAGCCTTCAGTAATCTCCCACGCTGAGGCATGAGGGTTAATCCTTGTTCTTTTTGTTATTCCACA